ATCAACAATAAAATAATATATATAAAATAAACTCTAAAAATTAAAAAAAAGAAAGGAAGTCATGCTGATCAGTTATCTTTTGCTGAGTCACAAGCCAGTCCGAAATTTCGTGGTTTAAAACAACATCAAAACATGGTGAACCTCAAGGGCATTTTGCTAAGTGAACTAATCCAGACACAAAAAGACAAATACTGTGTGATTCCGCTGATGTGAGGGACCTAGAGAAGTTAAATCTGTGGAAACAGCAAGTAGAATGCCGGTTCCCAAGGTCTGGGGCAGGGGAATGAGGCGTTGGGGACTGGGTGTAGAGTTTTAGTTCCAGAGATGAGAGCGTTCTGGCGATCAGAGGCCCACAGTGTGCCTCTACCTCACACGACTTCCTCACGCATAGAAAGTGTGAAGATGGTAAAAAAACAAAGTCCGTTTACTTAGCTCGTGATCCTGTGGGTCCGCGGCTTGGCCTGGGCTCAGCGAGGCAGTTCCGCTGAGCCAGGGGGGCAGGGTCTGCGGTCAGTGGCCTTGCTGGTGGGGGGCTGGCTGGCCCCCGGTGGCTCAGCTGGGACAGCCTGTCTCAGCCCAGGCAGCACGCACCCTGGAGCAGCCTAGCTCAGGCTTATTCTATGGCAATGGCCGGGGTCTCAGAGCGAAGGCCAGGCTCAGAGCTGGCAGACGGCCACCCCACTCGGTTTCCCTGCTGATAGCAAGCCATCAGGCCAGCCCAGATTCTAAGGGTGCAGACGAGGGTGCTGCTTGGTGAGAGGAGCTGCAGAGCCACTGGCAAAAGACTTCTGTTTTCCATTTGCCGTGCCACGTGCATTGCAAAATGGGCACAATTTATTTACCGCCCCGAGTTTCCCCCATTTTTCAGATGAAGAAGCAGAGACTCGGACTTTCAGTGATTTGCTAGGAGGTCCCACAGCTCATAAAGATAGACAGATAGATGCCAGACAGATAGATGATACATTGGGATAGATAGATGATACATTGGGATAGATAGACAGATGATAGACAGATGATAGGTGATAGATGATAGATAGATAGATGATAGATGACAGGTAGACGATACATTGGGATAGATAGATAGGTGATAGACAGATGATAGATGATAGACAGATGATAGGTGATAGACAGATGATAGATGATACAGAGATGATAGACAGATAGATATATATAAATGTAAAAAGTCACAGAGAAGCATTGAATTGGAGGAAAATTGAGGAGGGGATAGAGTGTGAACTGAACAGAGAAAAAACAAAGTGAGAAGGAGAGACAGTGAGAATCAGGCAGACTGGATGGGAAGAAGGAATGGAACATAAAGGCAGGGTGGACAGAGCAGAGAGAGAGGAGACAAGGCCCTAAGAAGGAAAGAGGGCAGATGGCGACAGAGATAGGAGGGAGGCGAGGAGGCAGACTGGGGGGGTGGAGGGGGGGTGGCGGGTTGCCATTGCTCTGCAGGGGGCTGACTCCAGGGGTGGCCGACTTCCCCTCCACTGGGGGTGACCCTGCCCCCCTGGCACCAACTAGAAATCTAAGACAGGAGGTATTTGGGTGCAAATATTCCTCATTCAGAACAGAACCATTAATATATTCTAAAAAGCTTTTTAGCTGTGGCCTGCTCTGCATGTTATTAATTTCTTTATTACAGATCTTGTTATTTTCACAGGTCCCCGGGGACCCATTAACCACGGGCTTTTATGGGAAAGAAGTCGGTTAAAGTGGTGGGAATAACTGCTCCTCAGCCCTGAGTCAGTAATCGGAGTTGCACCGAGGATAATGTAGGCTGTTTTAATTTCCAAAATAGCAACAGTTCAGACATTTAATTGCAGTTTTATGCCCTTTTTTCATGTTGCTGAGTGTGAAATATGTGACCAGTAATATATAATGGCTAACCACTGAGCCACGGACGCCCAGCTTCCTCATCTCTCCTGGAGAGGGGCCCAGGGAGGGAGGGAGGGAGGGAGGAAGAAGGAAAGCACGAAGGAAAGAAGGAAGGGAGGGAGGAGAGGGAAGAGAAAGTGTAAGGAAAGGGGGAGAGAGGAAAGCGAAAAGGTCCTGGGTGCATGTCACTGAGCTCACGCCCTTATGCAGTAGGTTCAGCCTCTCCTTCTCCTTCTCCCCACCCTTCCTCCACCGCTATTGGAAATTTGAAATTTTCCTCCTTTTTTACCTGCTGCCTCAACATCCTCAACAAATGGGCTGTGGGCACCCGGATCAGGTGGCCACAGGTGACCAGGCAGGCGTACTAGTGCGGTAAGTTGGCTTCTGTTACAAGTTCCCCTTCCTGCCCTCTCCTGACCATGACCTTTATATGCACCAATGAAAATGAATATAAAGCCCTGGCCAGTGTTGCTTGGTGGTTAGAGCATCAGCCCGCTCACTGAAGGTTCACTGGTTCGATTCCCGGACAAGGGGCATGCGGGAAGCCGCCAATTGATGTGTCGCTCCCATGCTGATGTCTCTCTCTCTCTCTCCCTCTCTCTCTCTCTCTCTCCCCCCTCCCTCCCATCTACTCTCTCTCTAAAAAAGAAAGAAAGAAATGAACATAATGAACACACCAATGAAATCCCCTTTTACCTTTTCTAGCACAGCCCACCTTGACCCCCTGTAACGGCACTGGCCCACAGGTGCTTGGTATCTGGACAAGTTAAAATGCTATAAATGTGCTTATCGAGACGCAGACATTGGTTTTTGTTGTTGCTGTTGTTTGTTTGTTTGTTTCTGAAATGAGGGCTTCCCAGATAGCTGCAGACTGTGGTGAATTCCCAGAGTTTCTGGAAAGCTTGTTTCTGACGTTTTTGCCAGTGTGTTCCTGGCTTTTACGGGGAGGGGATTTTCAGAGGTCCTTACATTGTCATTTTTGCTGATGTCACCTCTTTTTTTCTTGGAGATACATGAAATAATAGTGTTTCTTACAATTGATGACTCTTAGATTTGATAAAATATGGTGCGTCTGAGCTGTAAAACAACTAAGTAGCTAATGGGAGAATTAAAAATGGTGACACCAAATGCTAGACAATAAAACATAGGTGATGGAGCTGATATATCAATGTAAAAGTTTAG